CCACCAACTTTCACCCACCCCAAAGCACCTACTGTCACCCACCCCTAAATTCCACCCTATCCAGCGTCCTTATTACATTTGAAAAACTTTTCTCTTGGACAGTGTTTTTTCCCCACATTTCGAGCTTAGTCCAAATATGTCAATGTTTTTCTATTTGTTTTAACTTTAATTACTCTAATGCTTGTTGTTATTGTAATTTGTCTAAAATCGTGTGCTTACTAACACTGTCTCTTTATTTAATACTAGAGTACCCGTCCCCGCGTGTTGCCGCGGAAATAAAAGAAAGTCTGATATATACGAAGGGTTTCACCAATGCGTTACCAATCCTTGTTTTCTAATACTGAGTTATTTAAATGTAAACATTGCCTGCGCTTGGATCATAATTATCGGGACACGGGTTTACCTACACTACCGCATGAAAAACTTGAATGTACATTAATCACTCAGCAAAATAATGACACAAATGAACAGGATTTTTTTTCTTTAACACGTAAAAAATATTTTAAGTGTTTTAAACATCATTTTGACGGATGCTATACGTTAGCGTTACTAATGGTTTATTATTAGATGCTCGATCTCAATTTCTGATTACGTCTAAAAACAGAAGCAAATGCACCATTCGCAAAGGGACCAAACTGGAATTTTTTTACAGACAAAAAAAAAACATCCCAGTTAATAATCTAACCTTGGTTAATTTTTCTGATTATTAATAAAAACGAACCACATGGTCGATCCTCAGCGGCCTATGTGAAACTGACATTTTTCGTTCGCAGCCAAATCGCACCCTACCAGGGCGCTGGCGGACACGCCTGATTCAATTTACTATGCGACTGTAACGCCCCATCTTATCCATTGTCTATCACACTGTTTAGGCCGAACGTTGTCGACATAGCGCTCACGGGAAAGACCGACCGCCAAATCGCATACTACCGGGGGCCGCCCGTGTGAAATTAAATCCGCCCCCCCCCCCAGAAACATCGAGAGTATTCATCAACTCCCTACAGTTTTATGGCACTCGGATGGACGATGTCGAACCGCACCCGACATTTTTTAATATATTGTGTATAGAGACTAATCGCATCCTCCCGGGGCGCCGCCCATGCGAAATTAAAAATAATTTTTTAGAAACCTCACCTGGAGTGTTCTAATCAGCTCCCCAAAGTTTGATGGCGATCGGTGTCAGACCGCAATCGATTTTTTTAACATACCGTATATTGAAAAACAAAAAAAATAAAAAAAATCGCGACCTGCCGGGGCGCCACCCCTGCGAATTTGAATGTATTTTTCTCGCAGAAAACTCACCTGGGGTGTTTTAATTAACTTTGGTGTTTGAAGGCGATCGGATGAACGGTGTCGAACCGCATCCTACTGTTATTTTTTTGTATACCGTATATAGAAAAAAATCGCACCCTTGCGAAATTTAAAAAAAAAAAGATTTTTTTTTACAGAAATCTCACCTGGAGTGTTCTAAGCCCCAAAGTTTTATGGTGATGGGATGATCGGTGTCAAACCGCAACCGACTTTTAATTTTATATCCGTATATTAAGAAAAATCGCACACTTCAGGTGCGCCGCCCTTGCGAAATTAAAAAGGATTTTTTTTTTACAAAACCCTTCCATGGAGTGTTCTAATAAACTCACCAAAGTTTGATGGCGATCGGATGAACGGTGTATAACCGCAATCGACTTTTATTTCTATACAATGTATATATAGAAAAAACAAATCGCGCCCTACCGGGGCGCCAGCCCCTGCGAATTTGAAATTTTATTTTTCGCAGAAACCTCCCCAGGAATATTCTCAACAACTTCCCAGAGTTTCACGGTGATGTGATGAAAGGTGTAGTAATGCATAAAAGATGCACACACACATAGACATACATTGCTATATCTATATCTATATAGATAGATAGATAGATAGATAGATAGATAGATAGATAGATAGATAGATAGATAGATAGATAGATAGATAGATAGATAGATAGATAGATAGATAGATAGATAGATAGATAGATAGATAGATAGATAGATAGATAGATAGATAGATAGATAGATAGATAGATAGATAGATAGATAGATAGATAGATAGATAGATAGATAGATAGATAGATAGATAGATAGATAGATAGATAGATAGATAGATAGATAGATAGATAGATAGATAGATAGATAGATAGATAGATAGATAGATAGATAGATAGATAGATAGATAGATAGATAGATAGATAGATAGATAGATAGATAGATAGATAGATAGATAGATAGATAGATAGATAGATAGATAGATAGATAGATAGATAGATAGATAGATAGATAGATAGATAGATAGATAGATAGATAGATAGATAGATAGATAGATAGATAGATAGATAGATAGATAGATAGATAGATAGATAGATAGATAGATAGATAGATAGATAGATAGATAGATAGATAGATAGATAGATAGATAGATAGATAGATAGATAGATAGATAGATAGATAGATAGATAGATAGATAGATAGATAGATAGATAGATAGATAGATAGATAGATAGATAGATAGATAGTAAACGCATCACTTTTATATTAACCACTGGTCATTGAACGAACAATTTAAACGACTTTATTGACTCAGAGCTATTTTTAAAAAAATGTTTTTTTTTATTGCATGTGATTACATATTCTTTAGTAACTTGTTAACCGGCCAAGAGTGATTCAACATTTTAGCAAACAGTTAATCACATTAAGTGAGAAGTTTTATCTTCGACGTAAATTATGAACAAAACATAATTATGGGAGGAGTGGGTGAAAAGTGACAGGGGCGAAAAGTCACAGCAAATTTTAGCATTGAAGAACACTTTTTCATTCCGTCATCGTGAAAATTATGGTTTTTAGTCGTTTAACCTGCTAGGAGTTCACTTCTTGTTTTAACTCACTGAATCGGAACTAAGTTCACAACCACATGTACTTGTTTTCATCGACAAAGTGTGAAAGTTAATCAACGGAATCCTGTAAATATGCTTGCATCTTTCATTATTTTTGTGTTTTCATTGTTTTTACTTCTGAGAAATTGATTTAAAGGTGTGGATCAAACTGTATGACAACCGCCTGCTGGGGCGAAATGTCACACTTTTCTTTGGCGTGACTTTTCACCCCGGTAATAAAAAAAAGAAGACTACTTGGGAAGAACATGCAAAATATTTTTTTTTTTTATTTCCATTTCCAAATGATTTATGTCATTATATTTCCCTAGCATTTTTTACAGTGAATCCTAATACATAAAAGCCCATATGCGCACTTCTCTCTGTCCACAATGTTTTTGGCAATGTCGTCAACATGTTCAGCGATATATGGAGAACTTAAAGATACGGACTTTTTTTTAAAAATAATATGGTGGACGTTATAAATGTATAAAATAAATTTTCTTTAAAGAGGGAAAATAAAAATAAAAGCATATTGCAATAGAGAAACAAATTTCTAACATAAGCGTTTATTGTCGTGACAAGAACGCATTAACAATGACGTCACATGTCAGATGTTTACACTAAAGAAAGAACACATAACTAATGGCGTCATCTATGTAAATCTCTGTTGGCTTAGGTATGGTATTGGCTAATTTGGGATAAAATTATATTTGAAATAATATGGCGTATTCGCGTAACTTATGTTTCTGACGCGGAATCTCTATGTAAACTACACCACTAATTTTATATCTGTTCGGAACTTCCCAAATAGGTGAGTTGATAGTGTAATAGTTACAATGCGGGTGGTACGGGTTCGAGGCACATCACGTAAATGTTAATTTAATATAAATTCACTAAAGGAATTTGGATGTGATGTATTCCCAACAGTATGTATAGCATATAGGATACTTCTCACAATTGCATTTTCAATCGCTAGTTGTGAAAAGTTTCCTTCCTAAACTTAAATCAATTAAAACACATCCAAGGTCCTCAATGTAAAAAATCTAGCTTTGATAAGTATCGAAAAAGAATTTTTAACATATGATGTCAAGCAGGAGGTGGTGAAGATATTTTCTGAAAGAAGGGCACACCTGGGGAACCGCAACTAAAAATTATTGAACTGTATTATTTTCTTTATATACTATTCAAACTATTCTATTCAATTTGTACTAATTTATATATATATATATATATATATATATATATATATATATATATATATATATATATATATATATATATATATATATATATATATATATATATATGGGAGTCGGACGTTTTCCCTTAAGACACTTGCCCGAAGGCCGATTTCTCGAATAGACACTTGTCCGAATACGACAAATGCCCGAATGGGACAAATACCCGATTGGGTACTTGCCCGTATGCCACAAATGCCCGTAAGCCACTTGACCGAATGACCATAATATGATTTGTGTTCACGATTACAATACTTCCTCTATACTCTGTATGCGAGAAAGTACTAAACCGGGAGTGATCTCCCCTAAACTTTCTCGAATATTTTATATAACTCTACGGTGGATGGCAACTGGGGAAATAGACATGATTTTTAATCCATTTTTTACTTACTTCAACTTCTTAAAATGGAATAGAATCTCGTAAAAAAAGAAAAGAATTGCGCACCAACTGAATGGCAAACAATATGTGTATAATAGCGCGGAATATTATTAGTACCCTATAAATCCATTTTCGTATTCTGAGAAATCGGATACAGCGTAAATTACTACTTCCGGTCAACGGAAATTAATAAAATGTTCGAGAGAAATCGCTGAAAAGTTGATACTGAACTACACATTTGATATAAATTACATCAACCTAGCTGTAACGGTACTCAAATTCACAGACACAGACAGACATACGGACAAAATTTTAAAACTATTTTTTTTTCCGACTCAGGGAGGTGTAAAACGTCGAGATTTTTTTTTCTACACTTCGTATACGAGAAAGTAAAAATTCTGAAAATGCAACCTGCGAAAATTTATATAATTATATGGTTCCATTGGTAAAAAAAAAATTAAAAATGTGCATAAGCTCTTACCTTTCAGGAACGTTACCACCAGCACTTCCCTGTTATAAAAAAAAATTGTAAATATTCAAATATGTAAATATGAAAATACAGAGATATTTTAAATATGCATATAAGTAATGGCTTTTCCATTTAGGGACAGCATTCAGATTTAAACGTTTATATTATATTATCTAACTAATATATACATCTCAAATGGACTCATTATGTGGCGAGCGGACGTTTGTGGTCTGTGGATGACATGCATGTAGTAAAAAATTCGACTTAGTCGCCATTGTGTATTATTTTTTAAATTGTTCATCTATATACTACTAAAAGTCAAGTTTGTTTACATGTTTGAATATTTATTTGTTTTTTTGTTTGTTTTTTTGTTTGTTTTTTTGTTTGTTTTTTTGTTTGCCTGATCGACTATTGCTCATGGTTGCACTCATCGTGGAAAGCTGTAAAATAGTATGTAGGTAGAGAAAAATTTTTGTTTTAAGACAGACTGTTAATCACACATTTATTTAAAGACGTTAATTAATTTATTGATTTATTCATACGCAGAGTAACCCATTTTTTTTAAAAAGTTTAGATCGACCACTACACTCGGCGGGACCGTGACGTCACAGTTTTTTGTTTACTCTTTAGTACAATAAAATGGCGGCGTCTATCGAAGAAAATTGTGTTCCCATTCAAAAGTTTAACGCGTTCTAAATCTAATTTTCTGTCGGTCATAACTTTAACAATACGTCCGTTTGCTGTATTTATTACGTTCCAACACTTATATCAATTTTCAACTGTCTTTTTTCATTTAGTTTTACAATAAATTTCTCTAGATCTAAAGATCAGCTGTCGAAGGAAAGTTATGAATCTAGCCTAGATCTAGATCTAGGTCACTAGACTCAATGTAAATTCTAGATCTAGACTTAATGTAAATTCTACATCTAGAATCTATTTCAGGCCTTAATACATCTAGAATCTATTTCAGGCCTTAATTATTTTATATAAATCTTTGTTTGGCTAATTTAAGATAAAATTTAATTTGAAAGTTACTAGATTCTACTACTAGACTTAGATCTAGATCTATCGCGGAGACTCAAAAGTATAGTATAAAAATTCATTTGTGACGTCACGAGTAAATAGCTAAGTTTGTAGTCCGCTCTCATGCGGGTGGTACAGGTTCTAGACCAATATGTCAATGATATTTTTTTTCAATTTTTTTTTTTTTAGATGTGAATGATAAAGTTGCCTATCTGAACTTGGCAGGATACAGGGCAGGTGAAGTAGAGTTCATCTGTTTCTTTGTCCTAAGCATATGAAAGGATAGTGTGGTCAGAGACATGCTCGGCTGGAATCGTTTTTTAAACGATAAAAACATGTTGTCTGAGACTTGGCGGGACACTGGGCAGGTGAAGTAGAGTTGAGTAGGTCACATGTGACGTCAGTATATGAAGGGATAGTCCGAAATCGGTGTTTTCGGTGTTTTTAAAAGATAAGAAACATATTTTTGAATGTGGGGTCTGTTTTTGTGACGATAAGTGACACTGCGTAGCGAGGAGGGGGGGGGGGGCGGGAGGGGGGGGGGAAGGGGAGGCGGGGGGAGGGAAAGGGGGGGCGAGGGGACATATGTTGGGGGGGTTGAAAATCGAAATCTTGGGGGGGGGGGTGTTAAAATCGAAAAGTTTGTCCCCGGGCGCCGGGAAGGGTCGCTATGCCTCTGAGTGACAGACGTGATGTTTTTTGATGGATGACCCCCGAAACCCACAGTTATCCAACGGATGACGGGTATTCTAGTTTTACTACTAAAATCTAAATTGGCGATTAAAACACTCAACATTTATCATTTTCGAATCAATTTACATTTTCAACTTATCATCTTGATTGACGTAATGTGCGAAGAACTAAATGTAACTAAATGTATTACCCTTTACAAATGTAGCAATTTTATTTGTAAGAAGTATATTAATTACGTCAATTTGTACCAATTACTTCTCTTGATATATGAATTACAAAAATTAAAGGCAGAATATTATTATTTTTTTTTAGTATGTTTTGATGTTGAAATACTACCTTTTATTTATTTTATACACTGAATGTACTGTTTACTAATTATTACTTTTGTTTGTTTAGAAGCCGCTCCTAAATGTCTTCATTGTTTTTGTTTATGTTTCCCTTTGCGTTATTATATGCGTTTGTGTTTGTATGTGTTTGCGTTAGTATTTGCTTTTGTATTGCGTTTGTGTTTGCCTAATATATATATATATATATATATATATATATATATATATATATATATATATATATATATATATATATATATATATATATAAATATATATATATATATATATATATATATATATATATATATATATATATATATATATATATATATATAGATATAGATATAGATATATATATATTATATATATATATATATACAACTAATAAACGAAAAGTTTGTATATTTGTTTCTTTTTATTTGTATGTTTGAGATATATGTATTTTAAGAAACACCCCTTTATTATAAAAATTCAGAATAAATACTTTTTTTTCACAAACATTAAAAACTTTCACAGGGATTTATAGTGACTTAGAAATATTAGCAATTTATCGAAATGAAACGCAACTTATACCGAAATACTAGATTTAAGGACAAACCAGAATTAATTAGTTAAAAAGAAAACAAGTATAAAAACACAATAAACAATTGATTTCTTTATTAAACTATTTTATTCCTTAAATATTTAATATAAGTCTTTGCTTTTTAGCTTCACATATAAATTAATTCGAGAATACAATGAATTTTTCTAGAGCTAGCAATAAAATAGATCAATGGTGATATGCTCCTTATAAAAATCACCCGATTCCTGGTTTGTTTAAAATACCATTTATATGACCCTATTAATTAAAAAATAATCATTTTTTCACAATTTACAAGCTCTCTATGAAACGTTTATTATCGGTCATCATATTAGTAGTATATCAGGTCCCTTTTGATTAGTATGGCGGAGCAGGAGCAGGAGGCGCAAAGGATATGTAGTAAAATACTCCGCCACCTGGCGGAGGGTGAAGGAGCCGCAGGGACAATGACATTTAGTAAAATACTCCTCCACCTAGCGGAGGGTGGCGGAGCAGTTGGGTGAGGGTGAGGAGGCGCAGGGACAATGGGATATAGTAAAATACTCCGCCACCTGGTGGTAGCGGGGGAGGTGGCGGAGGAGGTGGGTGAGGGCGAAGGAGGAGTAGGTCAGTAGGTCAGGTGAGAGGGTGACCTAGTTACGTAATAACCACCGGGTGACCTAGTTACGTAATAACCACCGGCTTAGTGACATAGTAACGTAATTTGTTTATTTGTTCGTTTTTAATGAGTCTTTTATTTGAATTTTTTAATTAGTTTAATTTTTAATTTTCAATTTTTAAATATTTTTAAATTTTTGATTTTTTAATTTTTAATTTTTTTTACCTTTTTATTTTTAATTTTTCACTTTTTAAATTTCTAATTTTTAATTTTAATTTTTTAATTTTTAATTTTAATTTTTATATTTTATTTTTAACTATAATTTGTTGGTTTTAATTAATTTTTTATTTGTTTGTTTATTTGCTATTTATTTGTTTTTATTTGTTATTTTATTTGATTAAGTGATTTGATAGAATGATATGTATGCTAAAGTCATATCATATTTAGTCTTACGTCATTATTTTGGTGAAATTTAAATGTAGACTTTTTAAACGGTGTGTCATTTGACACGACGTACTATAACGTTGTTGTTTTTTAAATTTAAAGCAAATTTTTACTAAGGTGATCAAAAATTAAGATGACAATGCAAGATATAGAAAATAAAATAAATTGAGTGGTAAAAATAAAAAAATTGTTATTAGACGAATTGTATTATGTATAAGTAAACCTTCTTAAATTAAAGAAGTTCAAGTCAAAAAGAAGTTTGATGAAATCTGTAATACTAAAGCGAACATGGGAAGGTAATCTGCTGCAAGACTAAGATATATATTCCTCTTCCTTCTAGTTTCATTTAGCGAACAGTGTATGTACTAATTTAGTGTGTATGTAATTGGCTTTGTGTTTGTTTTAGCCCCTAAGTTCAGTTTGTTAAACTCTCCGTGGCAGTTGATAACGTTATAATTGATACGACCTATGCTCAAGTAGTCAAAGTAAATTACACGATGTTGCGTTTTGTTTATCGGTCTACCTTGACTTTTAAGATATTTGGCCGATAGAGAGGATAGCTCTGACCGAAAAACTTAGAATAAAAAATCTTTGGACAAAAATCACCAAGTGTGAACGAAAACAAAATTAAAAAAACCTTACTAAAAGAAAAGATTGTATCGTATTAAAAATGTTTAAAACAAGTTTCGCCGATAGCACTCATGTAGAAAGCTTGACTTTTTTGGTTGAGGTCTGTAAGCATAGTTAAACATCACCGTGTTTTCAAATATCTCGATACAAACCACCTTCTCTCCCCTCTTACTTAGTAATCGCCTCCTCTACCCTTTGTTTACAACACGCTAAAAAGAAAAATATCCCGCCCCTCTGCTTGAGACATAAAATACAAAAGCGTATTGTGCCTTGTCGTCACAGAAAACAAAAGGGATGTGTCTTAATGTTGTTAATCATTGTCATCCTAAATTATTTTTTAACTTGTTAAAGAAATTGAATGTTTAGTTACGCATTCTGACGAGAATTTTTTTCACAAGGGACGTTACTCGTGGCTGTAAACAAGACTGTTCTAATTTTAGAACAGTTGTCTTTCCTCTCGTTTCTCTATTAGGGAAGACACGTGAGCAAGACACGCGACACGTATTTTTAAATGTAAACAAGAGCGCACGGGAAGCACACTTAAAATAAACTCAGCTGCGAAAATGACAACGGAATGGTGACACTTTTTGGAAAACACTCTTTAACGTAAATAAAATAAGGGTCGCTTTTGTTGTCACCATGATAATGTATACCTATGAGTTCTCTCCGCCTTTACCGACCTAGTATGAATTTCCACTCCAAAATTACCAATGGTTATTTCTTTATGGTTGTGAAAGAAGGTTGT